CTTAAAATTTATTAAATTACTGAAAATAAATAATTAACTAAATGATATACATATGTGATTAAACATTTGTATTTTATCCTATTATCCTTGCCAATGATTCTTTTCATTTAAACGAGCGATGAATGATTGTAATAATAGTTAAATTTACTTACTTTGGCCATTTTTTCAAAATATTGCCGTTCTGCTTTGTCATAGGATGGTTTATCAAACCATATCTTTTCTTTAGCCAATGCAGCAGTTGCTACTGTAGCAGTTGCCATCTTTTCAGAGCTTTATTTTTACAACGCAAAAGTGTTATAAATTTCTGCAAAAAGATTGCAAAAAGTATAAGAAAACACAGTTTGTATGCAAATATTTTTCAAGATACATATACTCTTTTCAAACTGCATTCAAGAATTAGTTTGAGATTAAGAATATTCAAATAGTATTAATTTAAACATAACATTCTAAATTAGTAAAACACATTCATATATATCATATATGAATGTGTTTAATGTGGATAAAAATATAAAATTATCTCTCAAGTATAATATAATAATGTCTACAATGATGTTATGTCTATAATAAAATATATAAAAAAACACAAATGATAAAATTATATTTAAAAAAAACATTTAATTTTTTTTACATTTATAAATATCACTCGTTATTCTGTGAAATAGCAAAAGTTTTCGGAGAATTATTAAAATAAATAATTTCACTATAATATATATACATCGCACATATAACCTATTTGAGTTACTGACCACACTAGATGGTTTGGTTGTCTCTCGAAATTTAAGCAACCAAGTGATTTGATGTACAATATCTTATACAGATCATTCACTATGTTTCCGTATTGATCGACAAGTTTCTATGCTGTAAATTTATATTTTTACTAGCAGTTATCAGACAGTATGAAGTTAGTCAGCTCGAAGCAAAGTCAAAATAAATCTATATTAAGTATTCTTAGATATATCTCGAGTTACGCTTGAAAGTGTTAATTGCAATATTTATCTATTAACCAAATTTACCGTACGCACCGTAGAAAATGTGCCGAGTGAAAAGGAGTATCCAACCTTGGAAGAGAACGAAGTAGAGTGAAGTCTATTCGATCAATTGATCAACATTCGATATTTATTTCTTATTTCGATATTAAGAATCGATTCTTCGATGTTCTCGATTAGATAGATTCTTAAGCCGAGAGCACAAGCTTTAAGCCGAGAGCACAAGCTTTTACATAATGCGTAATGCATAAGACATAACGCATAACATAACTCACAGCAACGCACAAACTTTATGCATAAACGCGTGAGTTGCTGCGAGCGCCACGCATCGGCCAATGATCTTTCACACGTTTTAACTAACCTTGCAATTTATTTATTTGCGTTTCGTTAATCTGTCTTAAACGTGCGGATATAATATTGCTTAGCTAAATCATAAGACGAATTACAAATAAAGACAGTTCATCGAAAAGTTAATTGCTTTTATATCATCTAATTGCAATATAACACATAACAGTAATTTTCTGAAGTGCTTAACACGTGGTGTAAATATATGAAAGCAGAATACGTTAGAAACAAAAGTATTGTTTGAAGAAGGTTTCTATATAGGAAGAAACACTGTACTTAAACAGAAATTGGAAAGGAGACTCTTGGATTTCAAAAATATAATACTACATATGTGGAGGTAAATATTTTTTAGAATTTTATTCTATTAAATATATATATTTATCTAATTTAATTAAAGATTTTTTGTGTAAATTACATGTCTGGATTTTTTAAAGTAAAATGTTAGTTAATTTTTTTAGTTTATTTAATTCATGCATATAAGTTGGCATTTACAATTTTTAATACAAATTAAACAAATACTAATAGTTTGTTATACGTAGATGTAAAAATAATATGATATATTAAGAATATAAGAATAATTTCTTGTTACCAATATATTTATATATTTTTAAGTGTTGAATTTCTATATATAATTGGACAGAATAGCACAGAACAGCAAAGTATAGATGATGGAGGATGATGAATTTCTCATTTTGTCTGTGTTGGAATTATGTTTATTGGCCTTGTTACGAGAAAAAAAACGAAGAAAAAGGTGGTCAAATCGGAGGTGGTGGGTTAGACCTATCAATATTGCACGTCCTATATTTGGGGATTATGAGCATCTTTTTTATGAATTAAAAAATAATGATGCTGATATCTTTTTTCGATATGTGAGAATGAGGAAAGAAACTTTTTATCAACTACTACAGATGACAAAACCTTTTTTGATCAAAGTGAGCAAACGAGCTTTTAATCCAGAGCAACGGTTGATCATAACTTTAAGGTACTTAGTTATTAATTTTTTTTATTTTGTGTTTTGTTAAATGAAAAAAAAATGCAAACATGTGTAATATAATTATTTTACAAATGTGTGTGTATAGTATTTTGTTCTATTCATATATATCAATCATTTTTTTTGCAGATTCATATATATCAATCATTTTTTTTTGCAGATATTTAGCAACTGGTGATCAAATACTGTCCATTGCACTGGCTTTTAGATGTGGAGAATCAACTGTGCAGAAGATTATCCACGAAACATGTTCAGTTATAGTAAAAATATTGCAACCTATATATCTCCGTTTGCCTACCAAAGAAGAATGGAAAACTATTAGCGCTGGTTACTTGGAAAATTGGAATTTTCCTAATTGCGTTGGATCCTTCGATGGAAAACACATAGAAATACAAGCGCCACCCAATTCTGGGAGTTTATTCTACAATTATAAAAAGACATATAGTATTGTGTTGATGGCTGCATGTGATTATAGATACATGTTTACATTAGTCGATGTTGGCTCATACGGTGGCAATAGCGATGGTGGCATTTTTACGTCTTCTGATATTTATTCAGCACTACAAGAAGGAACATTAAATATCCCTAAAAATTTAATAAATCTTCCTGGAAGCAACATTAAATTACCATATGTTTTTCTTGGTGACAGTGGTTTCCCAATTAGTACTAATCTAATGAGACCTTACTCTGGAAAAATTACTTAATGAAAAAAAGAAAATATTTAATTACAGGTTAGTAATTTTTTTATATACTTGTAATATAATAATAATTATATATAATGTAATAATAACATGTGTATTACTTCTATCTATTTTAATCTCTCTCTTATGTATTTTATTAATTTTAGATTGTCTAGAGCAAGACGCACTGTCGAAAATACCTTTGGAATTTTATCATCAAGGTGGAGAATTTATCGAAAGCCAATTCATATGCATCCTAAATATGTGGACACGGTCGTTATGTCAACAATATGTTTGCATAATTTTATAAAATTTGAGGAAGACCTTGCACAAGTAGAGAATAGAGTGTATTGCCCTCCAAATTTTATAGATTCGGAAGATGCAGCAGGCAATATCATTCTTGGAGAGTGGCGGCGAGATGTTGGAAAAGCATTTAGAGACATTCCACCTACTTCGATGCATCATGCAACTACAATTGCATATAAGCAGAGAGACAAATTGGCTGATTATTTCGTGACACAACCTGGTGAAGTTTTATGGCAGTATGACTATGTTAAAAGAGGACTGCATTATGATGATCTATGAAATATTTTAATATAAATAAAAATTATATGTGATAATACATTATATGTGATATAAATAATACATATATGTGACAATTTGTTTTATAAGACAACAAATTAAAAAGGAAATAAAAAATTAGTAGAAATAGTTTATTTTATACTTTAGATTATATAACAACAAAATTACAATATTATTATACATATATAAAAAATGTAATATAATAAATATATTGTTCTATCTCATTACAGTCTTCTTTTCTCTTTTATTTCTTTAGTTTAGTACTCAGGTTAATACTTTGCAACAAAACTTAAATATTTAAACAAAACATGTTTACAATGTTACTAAAACTTAAAATATTAAAATAAATGTTTAGAATGTTAACAAAACTTAAAGTGCAATTTTCTTTTTTCTTTATACAGTTAAGTTTATTTCTCTTATTAATAATTTTGCAAAAAAACAAATATTTAAACAAAACATGTTTACAATGTTACTAAAACTTAAAATATTAAAATAAATGTTTAGAATGTTAACAAAACTTAAAGTGCAATTTTCTTTTTTCTTTATACAGTTAAGTTTATTTCTCTTATTAATAATTTTGCAAAAAAACAAATATTTAAACAAAACATGTTTACAATGTTAATAAAACTTAAAATATTAAATGTTTTAAATGTTAACAAAAATTAAAATGTTAAAAAGATAAAATATTAACAAAACTGAAATTGTTTTTTGTTTTTTAATGTTTGTACAAAGAAAAATATACTGTCAGTAAATTGCACATCGGAATTGTGACACTTTTGAGTCACACTTAAGAATTTTGATTATTATTAGATATCATATATAATGCGGAATATTTCTTTCTTTTTTTCTTTACTTTTATTTTCAGGCATTCTTTTTAATGAAGATAATATTAGTTGACAAAAAGCCACATCTTCTTCTATTTCTTGCTTTAAAAATGATGAAGTTGTTGAATGGAATCTGTTCTCTATTAGAGAAGAAACTTTAGAAATTGTATTTTGTAGAGTATCCGGCTGTGACTTTTTTTAAATTTTATTCCTTGTCTAATTAAACTCTTTTCTCTTATATCAGTGGAATTTAATGATGTAGAAGAAGTATCAGATACATTGCCACAGAAATCCGAAGTTAAGTCAACTAAAAAAATATAAAGCATTTTAAATATATTATTACTGTGTGTGTATGTTGTATCATATAGTCAAATAATATTAATAGTAAAGAGAAGTCTTACTTAATTAAGCAAAAAGTATCTTTACTATTTTTATTATTAACATTAATTTTACTTTTGTTGTACAGAAAAAATATTTAACAAATATATACATTAAATTATACAAATTTTGTAACAATATAATATTTAAACTAAAAAAACCTTGAAACCTAAATGAAAGTTTGTGAAAATACTTACTTTGCATCTCTCTCTGTCATCACCTCTCTATCATCTATTAAAGATTGCTCAACAAAAATGCTGCGTTTGCAGATGTGTTTTGTTTCCCACTATTTGAGCCTACTTTAAATAGTTTCTGTTCTGAAACTATTGTTGTCTTGTTATCTCTTGAAGACTGTTGAAGTAAAGTAGATGAGATTGGTAAAGAGAAGTTTTCTTTTCCGCTACGTACACATGAACTAAAATTTCTATAACAAAAATTGAAAACTCATTATTGATATGCCCAAGAAGTTTTTAAATAAATATTAGTATCTCACATACTTTTGAAGATTGACACATTTTGTCGACGCAGATGCGGTTTTGATAGGCACATTAGTCATTGTTCTAAAAGAAAAAAAATAGTATAAGAAATTTACATTATATAAAAATTTCTAAGCAAAACATACACAAAAAGAATGTTACCTTCTTCTCTTAATAAAGGGTTCCAAAAATTGCATAGTTTCGAAAAATTCAAAACTCCTTCTTTTTGAAGCTCCGCTCCCAGTAGTCGTTTCTTCTTGTTTTAATTTTTTCTCTCGTGTGTATCTCTCTCTTAGTCGTGTCCATCTTGATTGACATTCGTCCGCTAAAATAAATTACACAAAATTAATATATTTATAACACAAATTTACTTTATAAATTTACACATATTATTTGAAAATAACTGATAAAGAAATAAGAAGAAATAAAAATATTACATACCTTTCATGTTCATAATAATTCCTATTTCTATCCAGGCATTTTGCTTTTTAATACAATCCTTAAAATCAGTTAATTCTTTATTATATAAATAAGGATAGTCACGCACTAAAGAGATGAGTAAAGCATCTCCATCTTTTTCATTGTGATTTTCGATGTCACTGATATTTTCATCCTCATTTTCAAAATTATTATAACTTTGATTCTCATTTTCATCATGTATATATTGAGAATCATAATAATATGAATTGTGATCCATTTTTCTGTTAATATAAAATATTGATATTAATTGTGTATAATGTGTTAATAGTTTTATTAAATATATATTTATTAAATTAAAGACTTTGCAATATATTACCTTTTTTTATCTGCTGTTTAACGTAAAGTAAACTATATAATTTTATTTTTATTAATAGCTTTTTGACATTGATTTGTCATCAATACATCAATACGTTATCAAGAATAGGTTAGGAACAATTACACAAAGCAGTTTATTAACGCAGTTTCTGTTGTACATAACATAAGAATTCATCCTTACGGATTTTTCAACCTCTTATGCATTATGCTTTATGCACTATGCAAGATCCGCAAGGGAGAGAAGTGGGGATGAAATGAAGGGCTCTGATTGGTTGATTTCCTTATGCGTTATGCCTTATGCGTTATGTAAAAGTCTGTGCTCTGGCCTTTTACATAATGCGTAATGCATAAGCATAAGGAAATTGATTGGTCTATATATAAGCATAAGCAAATGCATAAGGAAATGGACCAATCAATTTCCTTATGCTTATGCGTTATGCTTTATGCAAAAGTCTGTGCTCCGGCCATTAGGGTATATCCAGGCTAACTTACATATGCTTAGGAACCAATCAATTTTCTTATGCATATGCTTACGCACTATTCAAGTTTGTCTGGATATACCCTTAGGAATTTGCAGCGCCAGAAGTATGCACCAATCACAGGTGGTTACTACTCAATTTACAATTGTTTGTTTTCTGAACGCAATCATTGTGTTTGCGGTTTGAAGTTATTTGATCGTGTTTGATTGCTGCTTGGTCAAGGATATAATTCGTTAATTTAATATTAGTTATTCCTGAATCAAGATAAAATTTTTTTGCAATTAAAATGCACTGTACAAATCATTGAAAATGCTTTAAGTTATTCTTCTATGAAAACTGGAAAACAATTGAGGTTAGAATGTGAAGAGTACATACGCAAGGACCCAACAATAACTGTAACATTTGCCAGAATCATTTCAGTTTGCTCGAATATCGTCTTGAAATCCTAATTTCAAATGTAGCTTAAGCCGACAAAGTTATTAATTTATGCTTTATGTTACACGAGTATATAAAATAATGACATGACAAGATTATTTAATGAAAGAAAGTTCTCATATTATTATGCTAATATAAAACTACTAAACTACTCTTTTTATGAGGTTATTATTTTGAAATAAATTAGTATTGTATAATCCTGGTGTGAAGTATGACAATTCTTAGCCAATGTTAATAGTATGAAGCTGTATACATGCTTGCAACATGTCTTCTTATTATCGTTACTTTGTATTCTTCTTGGATCAAGCCATAACTGGTTAAGCAGTTTTGAAAAACATATCGATAGTGATTATGTTACAAAATCTTCACTGTACAACACACTCAAATCTTCAGAAATTTCTGATTGCAATAAACAAGAAGTTGAAATTACATTTTCCTCTAACATAGTTGAGAATGAGTATATAGTCAAATTTAAAGGTTATTACAAGTCACAAGTACGAGAAAATTATATAGCAACTGTGTTAAACTCATCTGGCATTAAAGAGTGGAAAATTATACCTCGAAAGAATATAGCATCCAAGTATCCTAGTGACTTTGATGTTGTTCAGTTAAAAGAAACAGATAAATATCAAGGGCTAAAAGCTCTAAACAACCATCCTCTTATAAAGACAGTTACACCACAGAGACTTGTACATAGGACCTTAAAATTTATAAACACAACAAATGATTCTGATGTCTTACAATATAAAAATTTGAAAAGAAAGGTCAATAATCATGTAAGTTTATAAATGATAAAAATTTTCAAGTATCATGTATAATTGAAAAAGTTGTATGTATGTAAAGTTCTAATATTAAGCTATAGAACATTGAATTTCTTTTCAGAATCAATCAACAAATCGTCATACTTCTCGAAGATTGTTAAGAGCTATACCTAGACAAATTACATATATACTTGAAGCTGATACATTATGGAAAATGGGCATTACTGGAAAAGATATAAAAGTAGCAATATTTGATACTGGACTTGCTGCTAATCATCCACATTTTAAGAACATCAAAGAGAGAATAAATTGGACGAATGAAAATACCCAGGAGGATGGCTTGGGTCATGGCACATTTGTAACAGGTGTTATTGCATCATCTTCTAAGGATTGTTTGGGCTTTGCTCCAGATGCAGAACTTTATATTTTTCGCGTTTTTACGAATACTCAGGTATCTCTATTTGTCATATTTTTCTTTTCTACTTTTAATTTTATAATATAAATTGATTTATATTATTTTTACTCTTTTCAAATATAATAGGTATCTTATACATCATGGTTTTTGGATGCATTCAATCATGCTATACTTCGCGGAGTGACAGTGTTAAATTTAAGCATTGGTGGTCCAGACTTCATGGATCAACCATTTGTTGATAAAGTGTGGGAGGTTACAGCTAATGGTATCATTATGGTATCGGCAATTGGCAATGATGGACCTTTATACGGGTAAATAAAACAATATAACTTTGGTAGAACATTTTTAAGAATTTAAGATTTTTGTATTATTTACTTAAAAAACTAAAAATTATCAATTGTGTGTGTGTTATCCATTTTGATTAAGTCTGAATTTTTTTTTTTAACATCTAAATATTTAGAAAAAACACTCACTGTGATCTATTTGTACATTATGCTGTTTTATTTACACAGCACTTTAAATAATCCCGCCGATCAAATGGATGTGATTGGTATTGGAGGCATTAATTGGGATGATCAAATAGCGAGATTCTCCTCGCGTGGTATGACCACTTGGGAATTACCATCTGGATACGGTAGAGTTAAACCTGACCTGGTCATATATGGATCAGGGGTTAGAGGTTCTGCTTTACAGAATGGGTGTAGAACTCTTTCCGGTACTTCTGTTGCTAGTCCTGTTGTAGCTGGTGCGGTTGCGCTTCTGGCTAGTGCATTTGTGCAAACAAATAAATCTAGAATTATTAAAGAAAAGGTAATACCACATAAAGATAAACAAAATAAATTTTTATATTTACGCATTATTAGACATCAATGTGTTGTACATATTATAAAAAAATTTTATTGCATACATTATATGTGCAATAATAAATGTTTTCAAGGTAACACCAGCCAGTATGAAACAAGCATTACTGAGTTCAGCCCGTCGCTTACCCGGGATTGGAATGTTTGAACAAGGTGCGGGAAAATTAGATCTTCTGCGAGCGTTTCACTTTTTACAATCGTATACTCCTGTCGTTACACTCAGTCCAAGGTAAACTTTTTTCTGGATATAAAACATAACAAATCTTTTCTTGTCTGTTGCTTGGTTTCAACTGAACATGATTAATTACTTTATTATTTAAATATATGTGTAATATAGATATAAAAAGTATATTAAGATAAAAGACAATGCTACGTAAAGCCTTAATTACCAATGATATGATTAATTCCTTGCTTGTGTCAAATGATTAGCTATATAGATTTGACGGAATGTCAATACATGTGGCCGTATTGTACTCAAGCTATGTATCATACTGGTATGCCCACGATAGTTAATGTAACTATAATAAACGGTTTGGGTGTAGCTGGAAATGTAGTAAATTATACATGGCATCCATACACTGGTAATGGTAATGGTGAGCGCATTGACGTGTCAATAACACATAGTGATATTTTGTGGCCATGGTCAGGCTGGTTAGCAATTGCTATAACGGTTCCATCAACATCTCACGACTGGCAGGGCATCGCACAAGGCTTGTAACATTAATTTTATTTCTTTATTAAAATTTAACTTGTATATATTATAGTAGATTATATCTTCATATAGGCCATATTTCAATCACGGTTGAAAGTGATGGAGCAGGTAAGCCGCGACAATCGATAGTGAAACTCCCATTGCAGGCAAAAGTCATACCTACACCGCCCAGACAGTAAGTACAAATGCACAATATACAAGATATACATATACATATACATATACATATTGTACTAAATTGTTTGCAGATATATTTATTTTATTATTCTCTTTTTTTATTTCACAGTAAGCGTATTTTGTGGGATCAATATCATAACTTGCGATATCCACCCGGATATTTCCCCAGAGATGATTTGCGTGTAAAAAACGATCCATTGGATTGGAATGGGGATCATATACATACTAATTTTAAAGATATGTATCAACATTTACGCAATGCCGGATATTATCTTGAAGTGCTTGGTCACCCATTCACTTGTTTTAATGCAAAGAATTACGGGACTTTGCTCATCGTAGATACAGAAGAGGAATTTTTTCCTGAAGAAGTATGCATATTCCTGAAATTAAATCAATTGAAAAATTTGTTGCTTCTAGAAATACGTTGTTATAATAGTGCTTCAACTTTGTCATATATATCTACATTGGCGTGTAATAATTTGTTCTCAACTACAGGTGGCAAAGTTAAAACAAGATGTAGAAGATGATGGTCTATCAGTAATTGTATTTGCAGACTGGTACAATATGGCGGTTATGCGAAAAATCAAATTTTACGACGAGAATACTCGTCGATGGTGGATCCCAGAGACCGGAGGCGCTAATATTCCAGCTATAAACGATTTGCTTTATCCCAATTGGGGCGTTGCATTTAGCGATGAAGTACGAAATGGTCAGTTCACCCTTGGCCAACATGCACCAGTCACATTTGCATCTGGCACTACACTAATTAGGTAAAATGTTTTATACGTAGCAAATTGCTTTGAATTGTACGATACAAGACTTTATATTTATTTAGATTTCCAAAAGATGGAATCGTTCTATATGCAGAGTTGTACGACCAAGGTCGAGAGCTTTTGGAAAAAGAATTAGGAATATCTACACTTGTACCGATTCTTGGACTTTTACAAGTAACTAGCGAGCAAGATGCTGAAGCAGCGTATAATAGTGAAACTGATAATAGAGCACAATTGCACAAGAATGACGAAAAGAATTACGTTCAAGAACATACCAAGCATGGTAGACTCGTCGTTTACGGAGATTCAAATTGTATCGATGACAGCCATTTACAAAAGCGTACGTATTACAAAAAGAAATATTGATAATGTAGAAGATATTTCTAATATTGAAATGAGAGCTTAATATATAACTAAAAATAATATCTTAAGCTCTCTTTTTGAAAATATTCTATAATTTAAATTGTATAATCATAATGTTACTTATCAAAATAATTTTATGTATATTTAGCCTGTTTTTGGATGCTCGATGCTCTCTTAGAATACACGACAACAGGTAACATACCTACTGTTTTTATGGATGAAAATAAAAAAAAACACAAGACTGTTAAAACGACTAGTAAAATAGAAATCGGAAAATTGCCATATCGAATGGAGGGAAATTATTTTAGTCGTTACAGTAAAGTATTAATGGCTGACGAACCAGCAAGCAGCTTTAGATCTCTTCCATTATGTCCTTCCCTTACTTATGCTATACCAGTGCCGATCAATGAATCTATACCAATGTAAGTAATTTCACGCACACATGCGTGCTCACACACACACATACACCGAATGTTCGTGCAAAATGTTCTAACAGATTACATATTTATATCATCACTATTAATAATTTTTAAAATTGTTTAGATATTTATATTTGAATGTTTTATTATCTTTTTTTTTTTTACAGAGATCATTACAAGCCCCACAAGTTACTCCCAGTAGAAGAGACCATAAGCATAGTAAATTCAGCATTGCAGAATACAGACACCTTGTGGCTCAAAAGACGAGTTGGTGGTGCTAGTATTTCTACATTGCAATATTTGAACATTGATATCATGGCTTATGATGCTAAAGAAAATCAAGAAGACAACCAAATAACCCGATATGGATGGAGTTATATAATAGTAATAATTATAATAATTATAGCTATTGGATATCTGTTGAAACAGTGCAAGTATATCGTGTCGAAGAGACATTCTTGTAAGAAGCGTATTATCGGCAGAATACGTAGAGTTATTCAAGCTGTCGCTGTGCGAAGAATACCTACACAGATGTAGTTTGATAATTTTGTAAGAACATTATATTGTATATAAAACATATCAATATAAATTTTTTTATTAAATATGTTAATTATCTATATAAACAATTACAAACATTTACTTATCTAATGCTAAATAATGAATGCAAATTACATTATGTGCTTTTAAAACGTGCTATTCAATGTTCAATGTGAATTTGTATAAATAATATAAATTATTTTGATAAAAATTGCACGTTATTTACTAGCTTTATTTTTATTAATACAAGACTTCTTTTCTTTTCATGTTTTACAATTTCTAAATTATTTTTGATATTTAATTTATTTTTTAGTTTTATAATGAAGTTTTATAATTGCTTTTCCATTTTCTATTGTTGTTTTAGTGGAATAGCTTCTAGTTCTAATCTCTTATATTTCTAATCGATATACTTTAATTATAAAACGGATTGTAAGTAACCCAGTGGGCTCTATCTTGGTCTGCAGCAGATTTGTGTGTAGTAAAAATGCTTTTGAAAACTTCAGATGCTTTAGGATCTTTTGCGACACTATAATCGCTTTTAGCTTTTTTGTAAGCGGGATCATGAGCTTCGTTTTGATTGTCATTTAACTGGAGAACTTTGTCTTCCTTCTTTATTTTCTTTTTTAACGATTCATTTGTCTTCTTCTCTTCCGACGATATATCATTTAATTTTTTTTTCTTTGATTTTTTTTGACTTGTTTTTCTAAGCACCGCACGCTCTTTCATGAGTTCCAGATCATCATCTTCCGCATTTAATATAACTATATCCATTTCTTCAAAAGGTTGCTGACATTTGTGACAGGACTGCAAAATTTTACGTTTTACAAATTTTATTTGAATTTAATCAGAATCTCATTACTTGATAAACATCAGAATATTTAACTTACCGTACTTTTTACTTCTTTCAGAGCACGTTCACTCATTACACAACCGCATGACCATAAAAAGCAAAATTTATATTTTCCATTCATTTCTAAACCAATAACTGGACAAATATACGGACTCTTGCTCCCATCTGTGTAACCATCGCCCTTTTCAGCCTTGTTACCATCAAATGCTGGATTTGGTGTCAAATTCAGATTTCTCACATCTTTCAAATTCTTAATATGTACAGCAGATTCTGGAAGAGTACTGCGATCCAAAAGTCCCTCCAATACAGATTCCTTGCTGTACAAATAACCCCAGCTGCAACTGACAATTGGAGGTTGTAATGGCAATTGACTTATTGTGCAATGTTTCCATCTGAAAGCCAATTCTGCTTCCTTATCTTTCTGTAAATAATTAGACAAACAATAATTAACATTTACATTGTTACGTGTAGCCAAAACTATTGTAGCAAACGTACAACTGGTTTTTGTAAATAGTAAATACGTAAATTATGCATATGCTCATGTCAACCATAAATTACTTTCATCGCATTAGAATATGTAGTAATTTCCATACACTTGAATTATCACAAAATTCCAAATTATATCCAAACTATATTCTAAATAAAATCAAATTTCTTTCAACAAGGGTATATCAAAATTTTCTAGATTACCTGTTCCGGTTTTTTCTTTACTCTAACAAGCTCGTCTCTGCGAGGAATAGTACCACCATCACAACCCATGTTAAAGCTTTATAATTTACGATAATACACTTTATATTATACAGCTATTTTTTTACTCCAAACAAATACGAACAGATACAAACCGATGCGAATTACGCGATACTGCGCGCAGTGACGTCAGATTTGAGACGCAAGCAGCAACCAGCATGAAGGAGAGAATACCGCACACATGCGTAAGCCATGTATCACAAGTGAATTGCTGCAACAAGTTGCATAGTCTGATGCTGGCTTTAGGTCGTGCTGAGGTTGGTTTCTGAACGACGTTTGGACAGTTGGGTACTCCCGGGTGTAGTTTCTGAACGCAACCAAGCGAGCGATAGGTCTGTTTTTTATAGCTGAACTGGCTGCACTAGTTCAGAGTTTATCTTTCTTCTTCCAATGTGGAGGGAAAAAGATAAACTCTGAACTAGTACAGCCAGTTCAGCTATAAAGAACAAACTTGATGTCATGTTGCCGATTCGGTAAGAAAGGAGATAGAAATAGTATGTCTGCCAACAGCTGTTTGCAGTTACAATACTGTTTAGTTTTATTTTATTTTATTCTATTCAATTCTATTCTATTATACTAAGATCTTGTTCATGATTTTCTGAAGAATTAAATGTTACACATGAATTTATCTATTACAAACATTTTTAGAGGTTTGAAGAGTACAAAATGTGTGCTTCAGAAAAAAGCACACGTGTTATTATTCCGTGATGTAAACAAGCAAGTAAGATATAAAAGCACAATGACAAGACCTAAAGCTATCGAAACCAATAAATATCGACGATCAGAGGAATCAATTGGATTATATGGATATAGCTTATTGGTAAGTACCAGTTATAAACTCAATGTTATCAAGTATTTAGAGAAAGGAGAGTTTATCACAAAATTCTATCTATTATAATATACATGATAATAATAAATTTATATTTGTAATATAAGTAAAAATTTGTTTAAGTATAATATTGACTAAGTATATTTTAATGCATAAATCTGTACAATAGAAATACAATAGAAGATTTGATATAAAATTTATAATACAATTATTATCATTGGGATGGCAGTATATTTATTTATTTATTTACCTTTATATTATGTTTATCAGAATCTCTTCAGTTGTATTCGTGCCAAGTTTTAACTAATTTCATTTAATAAGAAATGTCAAATAAAAAGTATCTTACAAAAATTTAGAAATATATCCTTAACTATTTGTTTTTTAAATATACCAGCCTTAATACTCTTGCATGTAATAGTAATAAAGAGTGAGAAGAATTGATTGACATTAAAAAAATATTTTTAATTCTATTTGAAAAAACTAAAGTTTGTTTTTAAAATCTTCAAAATGCCTCCAGTTTTAAAACGAATGCATGGTATCTGATGATCCCTTCAAAACAATTTAATTTCTATTATATGCTACTTTTCTTGTTTGTCATACTTTTAGAAATTAATCTCTAAATATTACAATTTAGAGTGTACCTATTGCTGCTTTTGCCCTTGGCACATGGCAAATTAAAAGATGGCAATGGAAGCTGAATTTAATAGAAAAACTAAAACAACGTACTTCAACAGAACCAATAAATCTGCCATCCGAGTGAGATTATAACATTAAAGCAATGCATTATAAATATTTTTGTTTATAAATATTTGATATAAGTGTGTTTTTTTTCAGCTTAGATGAACTGAAGAATAAAGAATATTATCCTGTAAAGGTAAAGGGTAAATTTCTATATGAAAAGGAATTTCTGATAGGGCCTAGAAGTCTTATTCTAAATGGAGAGGCTGTCAGTGAAAGAGGCGGTGGAGTATTTTCTAGTAAATCAAACACAGGATATTATGTGATTACGCCTTTCGAGATAGAAAATCGAGGGTAATTAAATTTTGCTGTTATAATTGTTGCTTTATATAGAAAGAAAACAAATTTCACAATACTCTGATGTTTTATGATTCTATAATGCAGAATTAATTGGTGATTGTTTTAGCTTGACTATTATGGTGAATCGTGGATGGATTCCTAAAAATGATCGCTCAACGTTTAAAATGGACAATAAGATTACAGATTCTATAGAAATTGTCGGTATTGTTAGAACAGCAGAAAAGCGACCACCATTTATACCTGACAATGCTCCTGCGAAAGGAGTATGGTATTACAGGTAAAGGATGCATTATATTTGTCTAAATTTTTCATTTATATTAACATAATTTTATTAAAGAGTCTTTAGTGATTTGTAAAAAATCCAATATTTTCTCTATTATGCAAGAGATCAAACATTTACATGTATTCCAGAGATTTAGATGCTATGGCAAAGATGGCAGCCACAGAGCCTGTATATATAGAATTACTGTTCGGATATGGTACATCCCATGGTCCTATTGGTGGCCAAACTAAGGTAACTTTAAGGAACGAGCATTTAAGTTATATAATCACTTGGTACACGTTGTCTGCAATCACAAGTTACATGTGGTTGAGACAGTTTGTGCAGAAATTACCTCTTTTGTAATAATATTTCTTAGATATCTATCTGACACATATAAAAAAATGTAAAAATCAGAATATAGAAATTTAGTTATACATTGTTATAGAGTAAATTTATTTTTTGATTACATGCCATATTTTCATTGTTCTATTTTGCATTATGGAAGGAAAAATTTAAAAAGGTAATGAATTTTGATTTGCGCAAAACAGGTATAGAATTGGGAAAGAAATTATAGTTTGTAGAATTATTTATTTTAATCACTGTGATCCATCTCTCATATAAGAGAAATATCATATAAATGTTCTCTCAAGGAAAAAAATGTAAATTTCTGTCATTGATAGTAACAATAATGGTGATCATCACTTCAAATCATCACTAATAAAATTGTTAACGAGGTTGTAGTACACACAATATACTTCCATGAAGTTAGCATAAAAGTGTGTCTTTATACAAATATGAAAATATACAATGCACAAGTTTCATTGGATTATGTTTGTATGCGCGCGCGCGCACTATCATACAATAATAATAACATTGGTAATAATCATAGAGAAAAGCAAGTCACAGATTCTGGCAAGCCCATAATAAAAATAAAAATAACAAAGTAATTTTTGTTAAGCTCATTTGTGCTAAATTAACTACAATCTGCATTCTTTTACAAAGTTTATTTTCATCAAACAGTCAAGATATTTTGTAAACCTTTTCATTAAATTCTTTCCATAAAACTATCTTTATATTTTATATTGCTTAATATCAAAATTTATAATTCTGCTTTAAGATATTTAAAATAGGATTTTTAAGTTGTCTTATTGATATTTTGTTTTTTATTGATCTCATTGAGATATTTTGTTGAACTGTGGAAAGTCTTCATCGAGAACTTGAGTTTTTATTACATAACGTTTACATTAACATTTTTATTAACAATTAACATTGGTGTTTGCTACAATACTGTTTGTGTTCATATTTTATAGTTGTGAAAGATGATAATTTATTGTCGCACAGTATCAACGTAATATGTTCATAAATAAATTCAAACATCGATATAAATGGTTTTATGTTTAAGATTTGTTCTTATGATTGAAAAATATATTTGACAACATTTTTATATACAAAGTATCTCGGAGAAAAATGTGCATATTGTGCAAAAAGCACAAGACTTAAAATTTTGAAGACATTTGGCATTAGTTTCTTAGTGAAAATTTCACCTTTCTACATTTTATATTGTAATTTAATTTTTTCTAATATTACATTGGTTATCATTTAAATAACTTAACAATTTAATTAATTCAATCATAAAATTTAAAAGCTTCCATTATGCACTTACAAAGAGAGAGTGTAAAATTAAAACTTTTTTTTTTAAATTAAATTGAAAAATAAAGAACCACTTACGTTGTAATTATTAAATATCTCAATAACTAAAACGTAACTTTTAATAAATCTGAAAATAATGGAAAGATAAATTTTCTTTATTTAACAATATTATAATATGACCTTATAATTTTCTAAAATTTAACTGTCAACGTTAATCACGCCCTCGAGAAGATTCTCGCTTTGGCAATAGTTGACATATTTTCTTTCTTTCTTCTTTCTTCAGAGATATCGCGCATTTTTCAAATTTTGTAAAATCTAATCTTATCTTATATTTACGAAATATGAAATAATAAATTTTCTTATACGTATTAATTGCACTCTAACTTTTAGATATTTGCTAGGCATACTACTCGCGCGATATTTTCGCGCATTGCGTGCAAGAAAGCAAGTCGCGAATCGATCCTCTCGCGATCGATTATCACACCCTTAATGATTTCTCATACATCCCTAAGAATACATTTTTATGTACATACTACTTACATCATAATACATTGTCAGTAATCTACTAGTTTTCTGATTTTACATCCGCGATCGTAAAAACTCGAAAAATTTCGTTCTCCCTTTATCAATCACTTACAGACATTCAAAAACATTTCATGATCGACGCTTTTATTTGACTCGATAACGAAATTGGATGGCATCGATGGCCGATTTAGTTTCTCATTTAAAGGTTCTCGATGTTCTCGAACTATGCGGAACACACGTTGCATACGATTCGTAATATCAGTTCCGCAATAAAAACATGCATTTTAGCATAACATCTATTTTGATGGAAGCTGTTGGATGCTCATTTATTCTTAAATAACTTGTTCGGATTTTACTGTCGCCGAAATTCGGATTTTAGGCCGCATGCATCTAAACGATATTGTTTGCTTCTTGATGAGTGACTATATGAAACATGATTTTTATGCATGCACTTAAGAATCGGATAGTCGACAAATTTGGCTAAAATGGATTTGTTTCCTCGTTTCAACAAGGATTGATGCGCGATCTTCATATCGAACAAGTAAACCTTAAAATCGGTGGTCGCATTTATAGTCGCAAGATTTAAATTGATCATTAGGAACACGATTCACAAAGATCATCTTGTTTTTAAAATTCGTTTAACGTTTTCATAATTAATATAAAACCAAAATATTTTATCGTTAAATAGCTTTGTCGCCTTACATCATTACATCATTCGTTATTTTATACTTTTTTTATAAATGCTATCCTACAAATTGCATAATAATTACGACATGCATATAATTGTGCACTAGTGCATCTAAATTCATATTTAAAATCCAAAATCCTAGCGCTCATAATGGTCATGCCTGCATTATCAAAAATTGTATAAACGAAAAATCTCACTTATTATATAAGAGATACAAAAAAATTTAACTGCAATGTTTTTCATAATTACATAATTATCTTATTTTTTAGTGTTTTATGAAGATTATAATTTTTTTGCAGTTCTTACGAAGAGATTTCTCGTTTACAGAATTTCACTTGCATGATGCAAAAGATGAAAAAAGTCGATGAATGAGTCGATGTTGCATATAACGAGTTTTTTTTGTAAATTCGTTACTCATTCTAAAACTACTTTCAGACAACCTGATGGTTACACATTTATTCTATTTTCAGATAACGTAATTCTAAATTTGTTCTTCATTTATCTTACTTGTTTTTGTGCTGTCGATATTATAAAATGTATAAAAAACGAGCTTTCCAGCCTTCCAGGAAGGGATTTAATGCGATAACTTAAAAAGTAACTTATACTTTGCATTTACAATTACAAGCTCGTCTTAAGATTATCTAACATTAATATCTCGATTGATGAATATGGCCAAGTCGCATCGACAATCCGAATAAATTAATCGCGACTTAATAATCGGCTGCCCCCCTTCTTCTCTTTCTCTCTCTCTCTTTCTCTCTCTTTCTCTCTCTTTCTCTAGACGATAATGTCCTATCTATAGTATAAACAGTGAAAGAGAACCAAATTAATCTATAATATTAATTTTGTCCGATTTGCGCAAAAGTCAGAGAACTAAACATGCAATGCAGACTCGCGTAGTTTATAGCGAAGGCATAATGTGAGCTGTGAAAGTTAGCAGTTCCAAACGAAATCCCATTGCCGAAAAAGACTCAACATTATAGTCTTCGTGGAATTGGAAATGAAGCATTCCGATCGATACACTTGGATTTTTGAATGTTATTAAGTTTTGTTACTTGTACCCCGCCACCAAGTTTAGCTTAACTACTGTTCCGAATAGAGATGTAGACAGAGTTCTGCAAATTCTAGAAATAATTGTACGCTCCAGGTGTATGCGGGTGTGTGCGTGTCGGCCCGTTGCGCTTCTTCTCCACAATGTGTCTCTCGCACGCGCTTTCGTTGCCTTCGACGTTTATTATTCGTTCAGCACGCAGGTGCGAATCAGAGCGTCACAGACGGAATAGGGATCGCAGTTGCTGCTGGGCCTCCTGTCTTCCAGATAGCCCTTCTTTTCTTCGGCAACACCACGAGGGATGCGGATGCTGACGTTTCGGTTGGCTACGCCGGCGCTAAAATCGTGAATATTACTGGTCTCGCATTTGCCGGTCAATCTACGTTCGTTGTCCTTTCCTCCGCGCGGATCGTACGCCTGAATGTGCCTAAGGTGTTGCTTGCTAAGCTTATCGATCGCCTTCTCGATCTCGGCGATTCCATTCTCGTTACGCATCGCCTTTGTCGAAAAGTTGGTGTGAGCACCGGCGCCGTTCCATGTGCCATCCACTGGTTTCGGGTCCAGAGTGACGATTACACCATATTCCTCGGCGACGTGATGTAAAATAAATCGGGCAATCCACAAATCATCACCGGCGTTAATGCCCAAGCACGGTCCCACCTGGATCAAAAGTGAAAAAATACGGTATAAATGATTTTTCGTAGATGACAACATTTTTTTCTTTGCTATTTTACGAAGATTGAATAAGGGGGATGTCGCGCGATTACCTGGAACTCCCATTGCGAGGGCATCACTTCGGCATTGGTTCCTGCGATCTTAACGCCGGCGTAGAGACAGGCCCTGTAATGGGCCTCGACGATCTCGCGACCGATTACCTTGTCAGCTCCGACGCCGCAGTAGTAAGGACCCTGCGGGCCTGGGAAGCCGTTTTTCGGCCAACCGAGCGGCCTGCCGTCAAAGTCCAGGAGAGTGTACTCCTGCTCGATACCGAACCAAGGATCCTGCTCCTTGACGGTTTCCATCGCCAGGTTCGCACGGTACCGCTTGTTCGACTTTGTCGGCGTCTTATCACTGCAGTAGGTGTCGCAGAGCACAAGTTTGTTATTACCACGACGGAAGGGATCGTTGTAAATGGCCACGGGATAGAGGAATACGTCACTATTCACACCATCGGCTTGGTACGTTGAGCTGCCATCGTACGTCCACGTCGGCAATTCTAGAAAAGATAAGTGATTGAAGAATCAAGTGTGCTCTCGCTTGTAATTTACAACAAAAATTTACAAATTTATAGTCTAAAAATTATCAAACTATACAAAAAATATAAAATTTTAGCAGCTGGCGGATTATTAATTCACGATTACCGCTTCACTACTCACCGGAGGGATGTTTCGGCACGAAATCAAGAGTTCTAGTTTTGCATCGTAATCCTTCACCAGTTCCATCGATCCAAATGTATTTCGCCTGAATCGCATCTTCAGGTTGTGGCAAGTCGAGATACTTTTTCAGCAAAGTTTTATCTAACGCCGCATTTGGCGAATCCTTTAATATAGAGCGCGACATTGTGGTGCTGTAAGAAAAGAGGAGTATTGAGAATGAAGAAAATTCAAACAAGTTTGCAGAAATTGTAATTACTTTCATATAATAAGGGAAATGTCGAAAGTAATCGTTATAAGAGCAACATTTGTAAAGCATAAATTATTCATCTTGCATTGATAACAAAATTTACGGACAGCTCTTGCAATATAAAATAATTTTTATAATTACGAGATATAATACACACAATTGATTCTATTAATTACATTATATATGCAGGCCCACGCATAGGCCTAGCAGTGCACTGATAAAAAAATTATATTACAAGAAAAATAAGACCTTATATATTTATTTTATTGCCATGTCAGTACTTGTGTCTTTCGATATAAAAGCAATCAATTGATTAGATTTTGTTTTCAATATCTTAATCGTAATATTCTTAATTTTAGCCAGTTTAGCAACAAATCCTATGAAATTGAAAATGTATCTTTCTTTATAATTTACGCGAAATAACGCGAAAGTACGGCGTATTTAAACAATCCGTGTGGCATCGCACGCGCACGCACGCATACATGCAGGAAAAAAAGACTTTCTTCGTGGTGGTATCGTGAAAAGACAGATAGGTGCGCCCACGCAAGATTTCACGCGCAGAGCATGCGAGCTGCGCGTGCATTGCGTTCCATTTGGTGTGCCGTGGCATAGTCCCATTGGCACTGGGATTTTCCTTTGGGTTTTACCAAAGACAAAGAAACTCTTGGACAAATATAAGCTTTCAATAAGCTTCTTTCAGATAAATTCCATCTCGTTCAAATTAGTTTCTATAAATCTAAGATGATACCTGTTTTACATGGAAGTTATATTTTTCACTTTTCGAACATAAGTCTTTCTTTGTCAGCAAAATTTTCATATTACAAAATAAAATATTTTTCTAATATTGAAGCAATTATAATTAATATGGGAATTAATTTTTATTTTTATTTATCGGAAAAAGCATCGAGAATAAGAAGCAACTCGAAACGATCGAACGGAAATGAGCAATCGGGTGAAAAAATTTCAACACTCAACTTTTGCCTCAAGTCAAGATTAAATGCTTCTTTGTGCAATGTGTTTTCTCCAGAGATTACATAAGTCACACTAATCACGATTAAATCTTTCGAAATGTGCTGCTTTTTCAACTTATATTATCTTTGATTTATAGATAAGACTGAGATAAGAATGGAAAAAAATTGTTTTTGACAGATATAACATTATTGCGTGATTATGGTGATCAATTATCTTATTTTATTTTTTTCTGATTCTCTGTTCGTATTGTTACTATAATTTAAAAAATGTTATATGGAAGATTGATGTAGAATTAAGAATCTAAGTTAATTCCAACAGTAGATTCTTCAACTAAATTCAAGGTAAATTTTAAAAAACTAAAGATAAGAAAATGTTTCAAAGGTAAAGACAGTTATCGAGTTATATGCAAGCAAAAAGAGCAGAATTTCTTCTACAAATATAAATAAATATCAAAGTTCTGCTTTATTTATGTTTTTTTTATGTTTTTTTTTCCCCAGATTATTACGTGTCTTATTTCTCATCTATTGTAGTTTCAAACACACTTTATCGCACAACTGGTTAGTTATACAAATATATTCAAAATTGAGAGTCCTATTATAATAGCGGATAGCAAAATTAATGCAGAGAGTAATTCTAGCTGATGTTTTGGTCAAGTCTGGTTACAGATGAACTATGACCTTAATATGAAGAAAACCGATATCGCGTTGTGTTATGGTGTGTCCATTTGGAAATCGGTAGTTGTAATATCAACAGATGTTTGCTCACGTCATTCTTCGAAATTATATGGTTAATGTCATCATGCTCACGAATTTTGTAAAAACTTTCAATCGTCAACTTAAATGTAATGTATGAGAGATCTGATAATAAAATTTTAGGAATTAATTTATAAAACATTTTATTTTAAAAATTGTGTATCAACTTATTTCTCTTACAATCGGCCCATTTGAATACACACGTGTGCAGATGCCTATGTGTGTTTTGTAACATTTTTAGAACTCATTTTCTGAAATATCTTTCAGTATTTGTGTCACGTTTATTTGGATCGCTAAAATTGTCTCCAAATGCTTTTCTTTTATAATTTCTTTCAGTTTGGGAAATAAAACCAGTTTGGCCTACAGCTTATATGAAGTATCTTACATCATACAAAACTTTCACGCGAGAAAAAAATTGAACAGTGCATTAAAGCGTAAGCGATCGAGAGATTGCTTTCGAGTGCGACACGTATATATATATATATGTGCATAATCATCGTAATTCAACCAAAGAGAGATAATAAAGTATATACTCGGCAAACGTTGACCCACTTTAGTCTCAAGTACCGGACGATAGTGACGAATCAAAGTTCGACAAGTGCATTTTATTAAGTTTTTTTAACCAGTTCTGGACCAATATTAATCATCAATTCTACGTTGATAAATGTAAATAAATTTATACAATTTTTCTCATTAACTTTGGGGAGAAACAAAAATAGGAAAACATTCTTTAAAATTCAAATTAAATATATAATTTTTTATAAAGTGGCTATTTATTAAGATCGAAATCATAATGTTGCGACATAATATTTTTTATTATAGATTTGTATTTATTATTTATCAAAATATTCGATATTTATAATAATAAAAAATTAAATTTTATGAATTTAGACTCAAATTATACTTATGTTAAATTAATCTTTTTTCCTCATTAAGTATATATAAAAATCTGTAATTAAAATGAACTAATGAAACCAATTGGAAATATAACAGTTTTGCAAATAATTGTTTTCAGCATCTCATTTGTTCCCCCCCCCCCCTGTTTTCTCTCGATTTTGGGAGAATAAAAGATAAAAATAAAAATAGGATAATGCACTTTATACTGAATTCGTGTAGATGCAGTGAAAATTCACAGCAACACATATTTTTAGTCAAGTAATGATTCAGTTAACTGATTAAGAAAAGATAAAAATATTATCTTTTGATGTGAACAAAGAAGTCATCTCGATGACAGTCGACAGAGAAAGAAACAATGATAAAGACCAACTGACGTATTTGCTTATCAAACTCATTATCGCTGTATTTTCACAGCAATGATATAGATTGTAAAGCATTATGGTTTGGATGGTCATATTTTTTTAAAACTACATTTAAATCTATTGTCTTATCTGTAAAAAAACTTTCAAATTTTTTACAGATAAGACAATAGATTTAAATGTAGTTTTAAAAAAATATGTCCATGCAGGAATAACGACCTATTATCATGACAAGCACAGTGTAAGAAAAAAAGGGATTAAAACAATTTAGACGCGATCTTCCCTATAGTATATATTTCAGATCAACATAATTAGGTCTTCATGTAGAATTATTTGTATATAAATTCTTTTTTCTTCTTCTTCGATACAGTGAGAACGATGACAACTTAGCGTCGCATAGAATAATTTGACAGAACATACATATATTGTATATGTTTTCTGTGTATGGCTTAATTCTAAGACCTGGATGTGTCGGACCAATCGTCATCTATTCGTGTTTTATTCAAGTTTGACTTTTGAGAAAAAATTTCGACAATGGTTAATATATTTCCATCTTCTCAAAAACTATTTAATTCGTTTCATTTACTCTTTTCTTACATTTGACTTTGATTAATATTCTGTTTCGAATTAATTCAGATAAACCATATAATAAACACTACATTCGCGCGTTCTTTTAGGTCACGAATTGTATTCATCAACAACCTGCTTTATAACGGAACGAAAGCTTCGCGGTTGCCGACCTTTAACTTGGACCACATTCCATTCACTGCGTTTTACAAAACCGTTGAGATAATTCTTCTTCAAATAGTGCAGTACAATTATTTATGAACAATGCGTCACAACGCATTTGTCAATAACAAATTGTTAAATATAAAATTGTCGGTTTTAGTCCTTCATCTTTATATGTATTATTTTTAATAAAGTATAGCTTTAAAATTGCATATTTTAAGACTGGAAATTTGTTCTTCAGTGTTGTTAAACACACTTCATCTTTTACTTTCAGACAATTTTGATTTATCATTGTTTCTGTTGGTTGTCTTTCAATTCAAACAGCTGTGATTAACAAGCAATATTTTGTAATATATATTCTAACAAAGACAAAATATTGCAAAAGCGACTTAAAAAATGTTAATCAAAGTTTTGGAATGCATTTTTTGTTTTCTCTACAGTTTTCAATCTACTTCTCTTTCTAGAACGTGATTGTATATACGTTATTAATGTTACACGTTAGTCACGAAAAGTGCGACTAAATAGAACAAGCTTACAGGAATATAGCCTGAAAGTTTTCTACGAATGCATCAATTAAGAACCTATTGATTGTTCCTATTAATCATATCTACCAACCTAAGGCACCTGCTGATAGTAATCCATGATTTCTGCTCGGTCATCGCGGCGCGCAGAACCTTTGGTCCACAAATTCTGATCAGGATGTTAGCACTCATTGTGCAAAATTTCGTCGAGGATGAGATTTGTGAAAAAAGAGATCTTGATCGATTCTTCGCGCGTCCGAGAGAAACGCGCACCGATACCGAGAAAGAAGCCGCAGGAAAAGAAACGAAAAAACTGGAGCAACGCTATAGAAAGAGAGAAATCACGAAGAAAGAACGCACCATGAGAACTGGTCGTCAAGGATTGAGAGTGGTACTATTTATACGGGCGCCCCTCCCCAATCGTTATTCGGGTTTCAGAAGGCCCGGCAAGCCCAACTTTCGTCTTCTCTCTTTTCGCCTCTTCATGATAAGAGACGCAAGAAAGAGATGCGGTGAATAAGCCGTTCGGCCACACCTGCTGTCGTCCACCTGATCGGACCATGGATCGACTATATCACGTGCCGAATCCATACGTCACTCGATTAATTTGCCACTCGCTGCGCCGAGATTTAATATAAGTTCTGTCTTTCTTTGTTTCACACACCAGGAAGAAAATGGTGAAAGGGAAGGAGGAGATATCCAGCCGTGAAAGTGGAATTTTGTGATTTGACTGATGTATCATTGTTATTACGTAATATCATTTTTTTTTATCAATATAAGTCTTTCTTGTTGACCGTCTGTTAAAATAATACTCTATGATCTGCGCAAGTAATTTCGCAATTAACATGAAATTAATTAATCTGAAGAGATAACATCCGGCACGACAAGAAAAGGCTCACGCGTGTTTCATTAGTGTTAATTTTACTTTTCTCATTTAATAAGAAACGCGGAGAATAAAGTACATGTGTATGTGCATAAAAAATATCAGAGTAAATCTAATAAATAAAAATTAACAAAAGTATAAAACTCGAATATGTTTGCTCATTCGCAGCCAAAGTTAACGTAAGCAAATAAAGTGTCATAGAATGAGTTAAAATTTGTCACTGGAACATTAATTGATGTTGATGAAACCGTAGTACATATAGCGAAAAATAAATGAAGTAATATAATAATCGTGTGCGATTGATGTTCATTTAGTGAATAAAAAATTAACGGGAAGTGAGGCATTCAAAAGAATGATTTGTTCAAGTAGTTAATTGTCGTGAGAACTCCATGTCAAGAGTGAAAATACGGCCAATGACTCCCGAAAGGCTAAATGATGTAAATGTTGTAACATTTATATTAATGTATTCAACGTTAAAAATCAATTTTATTTTTGTAGTAAATCGCATTTGATGTGAATACGAAGGACCGATTATATGCTGAATTTAATGTTAACAATTAATTATGAATACTAGTGATTAAAATTATAATTATAGCAGGTCGATATTTGAAGAAGCCCAAGCACACACTTTGTGCGTGTGTCGCGTTATCGCAACTCGTTTAATCAGTAGACGCGCATACGAATGATGTTTACGCGGAATTACACAATATATCTGAAAAATAACTGGATTGACATTATATCATTTCAAGTACTAATTGTAAGTATATGTTTCACGATAAAATCTATATAATTTGCAATTGTCGTTTTTACAATGACAATTTAAGTTATCATAAAATTATTTAAAAGGAAATTTTGATTTCACAATTACATTGTAAAATCGTTAAGAAATCGTTGTATGTTTGTCATTAGAAATGTAAACATTGCCCTAAAAATATCAATTATTTTGTTTGTAATCCTATTTTTACTTCCTTCTTCTATGCATTATTTAATGTTGTACTTTGAATTGCGAGAGGGAACAAGAATTGCAATACAGTATGCATTATTGATAACACACAAGTTGCAAAAATAGATTTCAATGTCGCTTGCAGCGTTTTGTATAATTTTATTTTGGTCGCGTTATTGTCGAATTACAAGGTCAAGTGATAAAACTCAAAGTCTTAAGCGTTCCACTGATCTACACTCACCATCAGTCAATGTTTATGTAAATTTTTCATTAAAAAACACATTTTCTATTCACTCAAATAATGTAGAAAATTGTTTAATGCTTTATTCAAATGATATGTTTAATTTGAGTGAAATTACAATTGTAAAATATATGTACGCGTCTCTCATAAATGGTTTTATGCTCAAAAATTGTAACGTTTACTTTATAATTAGAAAAATGAATACACATAAGTATCGAAATCATTTTCGGACAAGGACCAAATTTTAATAGAAAATAAATTTTTCAGAGTCATTATATTATTAGTTTCATACACAAATTTGACTCTGTGTGCTCTCTTCCATAGATTGTTGGAATTCTCGACTCTAATTGCCTCGCGGGTTTCACAAATACGTTATCAGTTGAAAAGCCTCACGCTGAGTTTTATACCCGGTAGACCAAATTGAAAAGAAGCCATGAAGTCAATCAAGAGCATCGATTACTGATGACTTGGAGGAAGGACGCTCATATGTTTGAGGAATTTAGGATACTTTTTGGTCTTCGTAGAAGATTTGTAACGAGATCACACGCGCGGAACATTTCTATGCTTTTACGAGAATTTCACGACAAATGTAATCTCAATTTTTATCGGAATAGCATTATAAATATGTAAAAAATTGCTATTTTTGGCATATTTTTTTAATATTCTCAAAATTCTGATACAATACGAACATTTTGATATCAGACTTGACACTACTGATAAAAATTTTATGAAAATTTTTTTTCCAAATAATATGCACAACAATATAATTATTGGTGTGTGTACTATAAACAATTCGATTGATTAAATATTATTATATTAAGCTTTTTCTAAAGATTATTAAAATAAAAACAAATAAAATAATAATTATAAGAACGTTAGATTTATTTCGTCAAAAAATTGCGGAATAATAATCGCAATCGTTTCCATCACGGCTATTGATAAATTCTGCTTTCTAGAAGTATTTTTTGACAGTATCGATATTAAATAAATATTTGTTATGGATGCAACAGTTCATTACCGTGCCAAGTGTTTGTCGGAATGCACTATTTATTGCTTCTCAGGGTCAAAAGAACAATCACAGTGTGTTGCCAATTTTTTCCGGCACATCATCAATTCTACATGAATCCGATCCTTCCATTATCAAGGAACATTTTTTTTTACACCCACATACAAAAGTTAAATCAGAGAAAAATAAAATTGCCGAATGATAAAAATTTAAACTAATTAAAAATTTTTTAATTTTTTTTAAATTATAGACAACGATAACTACAAGCATTTTGTTTTTTACGTATTGTGACCACTGATAGTAATGATAATGATTGTCTAACATGACTTTTATTGAGAGTACACTGTCTTTTGATAAATCCAAAAAGATGCATTTATGTAAGCATGGACAATTTTAACTGCCCAGATTTCTACACATTTATTTATTTTTAACATACGATATTTTCAACTTTTGCAAGATTCAGTTCTCAAAGTTATCGTTATTTAGCTTTTATTTAACTAATTGTATAGCATAGTTGTCTTTAATTTTTCATGTTTCTATCTTTTCCTAAAATTATATATATTTCTCAAAGTTCGATAGATTAAATAACTTATTGGGTAATGATTTAAAAAAATTTTTATATTATGTATTTTCTAGATTTTTGTATATTTTTTATTTCTTGCATCTTGAGTTTATTGCACTGATCCTTCAGTTTGTAAATTTTATTTTATTTTTATTTTTGTGAATTTATTCAGTTTTTATATAACAATTTGTGAATTCAAAATTTTAACTTTTAGATTTTAATTTTATAGAATCTTTTTACAATCTCGATTTTACTGTTACAATTAGACTCTCGAGATTCTTCCTATGAGATAACTGTTTAAAGAATTATATCGTAAATAAAATGTAATTCTTAACGATAAGATTGCAATTGCAAGAAAAGAATAAAAATAGTTGTCTTATTAAGCTGTTATACTTTATCTTCTTTTATCTCTGTTTCTTTAAAACTACAGTTTCAACTACAATAGACTTCTAGAAATCTGTTTGCGAAATAGTCTTAGGAATCCCTGTTACAGCTGCTGATTGTTAGGTGAAATATTATCGCAATGAGTTTCTTTCATCGGAATTTAGAGTATTGGAAATCGAAAGTATCAGGAAAGAGCTAAATTAAGTGAATGTGATGGATGGTCAAATAGTGGAATTTGTTCTTTGATGAAAAATTCATGTACGACCGCGGTACGATATGTAGATGCAATTGTCATGAAAAAAAAACTAATTTTTTGACCGATCTTATTCGAACGATACACCAACATAAATACTTTAAAACATCTGCAATAGCGATCATGCACGATTCATCATTTAATTCTCTGACACAAATTCCTGAAGAATAGTATCCTTGAAATCACATGTAGAAACTGCACTTATCGATTATTAAACATAATAATTTTAGTCAAATTATACCTAAGAAATGTATTGTGTTGCATTAATGAAAATTGTTTGTTTTTATGAAGTTTCTATTAGCTAGTTAAATCTTTATCTATAATTCTGAAATACTTTGTACATAGAGGTAAAGGTTTGTGATACTCTTTCAACGCGAGATAAAGTAATTCGAGTCTACGGCACTGAAAAACTCGAGAAAAGAAAATAGTACCTTGCCAACTCCTTTTCACTACTAGCGAACGAGGTTCACCCACGATAGTGATACTTAGCACTGAGCAGAGATACAAGAGTACTGCCAGATGCAGTTGGCAGTGCAGATCAACGAGGCAACACGCACAACGTTGGTGACGACGATATATAGACACTTAGTCCGCCAAAATAGTGTCGCATGTAAATGACAGCTGTACGAAATGCGTGAATTCATGCAAACACAACAGCGTGCCGCACGACGACGACGCAAAACGTGTCGTCGAATAGATGGTGGGAGGAAGAATGCAGCAGAATGCAGACCTATTTTCTTTTATACACTCCCACTCCACGATTGAGTACGCATTCACAATGTGCGCCACGTAAGTATATTATGTGCATTGAACTGTTCCTCGAAGAAAAAGTTTAATAATTGAATGACATAAAAAAATTAAATTTTTTTAAAGTTATTATATCAACTACGATGAAATATTTTCGGTTTGTAATAATTGTATTATGTTAAAATGTCTATTTGCATGTGAATCACTTTAAATTTTACAAATGTCAAATTGGTTTGCTCGAGCTGTCGTCCATTTAAGATATTTTCTTTAAACATTTTTATACTCTTCAAAGTGATGAGTTTGTAATTTTATTATATAAGTCTGGATTACTTAGAAACATCATGATATGTT